TCTGTAACTCGAAAAGTCTGTAAGTCGAGCCATCTGTAAGTCAAGGGTCCACTGTACGAAACAGCTCAAGGCCAGTTGTTGGCCCATGTAAATGGACAAATTCCTGTTAGTTACACCTGCAGGCATAATGAATATGGTGTAACTTTTGGAGGCAAATTGCTTCAGGAAAGCAACATAGACATTATTTGTTCCATACCTGGTTGTGCAATTTGGGATTTGCAAATTGAGATAGAAACCAAAGACTATCATTTATACTCTTAGTGTTAGCACTAATGTGCCACCTCTTGTATATCTGACATATCCATAAACTAGGCTCAAAGTTGTTCAAACACAATGCAGGAATTCATCAGAAGAACAATTTAGAATCACATCAATAAAAAAACTTTAGTTTAAGTTCTAAGTGCCCAATTGCCAAAAGGTTACTTGAATGGAAAGGGGGGTGGGGATGGACATGCTAACAAAAGAAAGCAGGTAGGGGGCCAGCCCAACTCTCCTTGTGAGTTCTTGAGCCTGGAAGCAGCCACTCAGAAATTCTCTCAATTCAGGTGAAAAAGGCTTCTTGAAGATCCTGGAGTGCAGGCTGGTCTGTTGGACAATATGGTCCTTCAAATAGCAGACTCAAGGTATGTGAGGTATTGTAGTTCGTAATCATTTGAATTGTGCCTGCAGTGTTATTTCAATCGTATGGTAATTATGTTGCATTCCATGGAAGCTGGTGGCATATACCATGCCAAGGAGGGCATGGCATCTTAAAAGTAGAAGCTTCACTACCAATGATAACTGCTTCAGTAATACTTTCTATGAGGTATGAATTAAAGGTTATCCTTGCCAAAATAGCTGCATTGTGAGATCAACTATCCATTGTAAGCTATTTTATTGTCTTGTAGCACACATGTGCAAGATCTACACATAGTAATCTAGCAAAGTTTGGTTACTAGCATGGCTGCAATTAGTTTCCTACCATTTTCTGTAGAGTTGGGAAAATGACTAAAATTTTGAGATTCCATTTTTAAGACTTTACAGAGCTTATATTTTTTTTCTATATACCAGTATTATTTTTAAAAGAAAGTACTAAATTTATAGATCTATTTGAGAGATAAACTCCTCATTAATTCCTGGGAATGCTCCATGTATAATTAGATATTTTCAAATATTTTTTAAAAATTGTTTTTAATATTGATCAGTGCTCATTTTTTAATATATAGTTTTCTATAGTATTCTAACTTATTATTGTATGGGTTTAATTGTCAGCTATCTTGGGTCCTCTATGGGCAGAAAAGTGGCATATAAATAAAATACATACAGAACTTTGCCATACACCTACCTTACCTACCTGCTTTTAAGGTGTGACAGCTCTTGGAGGGGAAAAAAGTGAAGAAAACAGATTTCAGCATAGCTATAGCTGGCCCAGGAAAGTAATGTGTAGTCTCCTGCACCTGACAGTAAGACAGAAGCAATATAGGAATCATCTATCTATCTATCTAATCTATCTATCTAATCTATCTATCTAATCTATCTATCTATCTATCTATCTATCTATCTATCTATCTATCTATCTATCGTAGATCATGACAGCTCTCCCCTATGACACACCAGCCAGTGGATTAGGAAGAAGTGTATGATAAGAGTGTAACAATATCTGCTGCTAACATGGTGGACTGGATGTGGCCCTTGGCTAGCAGAATGGCTTGTTTATTGGAAGTGGTGCATGTTCTCGTGTGTATGTATGCATTCATTTGGTGCGCTCTACAAAAGATGAGAGCCTGAGGTGGTACAAATACCTTTCCAAGATCACTAAAAAGTAACAAATTAGACAAGCTCCACATTCTCCAGAACTCTTCATGAGGCAATGATATAAAACTTGCGGTAAAAGCAAACAGTTGAAAAATTGGGAAGATGCAGTGCCCACGTAATATCCAGTGTGGTGTAGACCGAGTAATACAGTGATGAACTAGGTACAGCGATGTGGAACCAATGGCAAGGATGCCACAGCTGGCATGCAGAGCCCTCTCTGTGGGCACGCGAGCTATAAGTCACTGGATCGCTACCCCCAGCAGTCAAACCAGTGGAGGTGGCTTCAGCTGCAGTGCTAGCAGCCTGACAGGCGGCAGGCCCAGATCCGGAGCAGCTGGTGCTGGCGGCAGCAGGCCAGCTGAGCTATAGGCAGTAGTGGGGTTGGGCACGACTGGAGGCAGATCTGGAGTGGGGTCTGGATTTTGGAGGCACCTCCATGCCTGGGACTCCCCCTTCTGCTCCCACATCTGCTTTCACTGCGCCTAATTCCACCGCCAGCTGCTGCCTGCTGGGCTATTTTTTCAGTTTGGGCACTCGGGCTCAAAAAGGTTTGCCATCACCGGACTAGGACCTGCTTCAAATCCCCACGTCACCATGGAAGCTCACTGGAGGTGTGAAGCTGCTAAAACTACTTTGTAAATATCTCACTTTGAAAGCCTGCTAGGATCACTATATAAGTCACTTCCAACTTGACATAGTAACAAATGCCGGTGTATCCTGAAACCAGACTGGCAATAAAGCAAAAAGGATTTCAGATTCCATATGAGATGGAAGTATCAAAGGTTTTAATTGGCAGTTTCTGCCTCCTATGAATGGTCGCTAGGATCTACAACCAAGCTATATGATGTTTGGAAAATGCAATTTTAGAAGTCTTAGTTTCTCCTTTGTTGCTATGACCGGAGCACATAGGCATGATTTGTATTTGCTACAAAAGACAGAGGAAGCATTAAAAAACCTATAAACAAGCCCACCCTAGATTACATCG